CTGGAATAGCTGTTGAATGCTTTAAATGGAGCTTACTAGGCCTTCCTAGTAACATGGAAGACAGTGGTGCTGAGGCTGACTTGGCCCAGCTCGAGAGGTTTCACGAGGGAAGAATATTAGTATATGGCCTAGAGACCATTCTTGTGATATCTTTACAAAGGCTATGGCTGCTTTTTGTCCTTGTCCTAAAAACCTGCCTAAGGCTAAAATGAAGAGTTTTGAATTAATAGCATTGGCAAAGAGATTTCAAGACAGCCTAGTAGTGACCATGTTGTATGGTTATTAGTAGCCACTCTTGTGCAAATCTACAGTGAATAGGAGCAAATGAGGCATGGAGAAGTAAAAAATATATATTTTGAGGAGGAAAGGAACACCAGGAAATGCAGTTCTAGAGCCAAGTCCAGTGCTCAAGGAGATAAAAAGTTTAAAGAAAGTCCTGGTGCTAAATGGAATGAAGGGAGTGTGACCTCATTGAAAGACACCACCCAGCTGAGCTTCCAATTGGTGAACAGGACTTAAAGGAGACCTTAAGCAGTGAAAGGAACCATAAACAGAAAGCTGATACAAATGTAATTGAATGAGGGGGCCAAGTTCCAGCCCTAGCAAGCAGCGGAACTTGGGAACTTCAGCCATATGGTTCTGACTATAGAGTCAAGAGTACAAGACAGGGGTTGTGGAACCTCCCTTCATGGCTAAGGAGAGCTGCTGAGGCAAGGCCTATGTCAGGGATGTGCTTTCATGGGGCCCAGAGAAGCCATTATATGAAGCTGTAAAGGTAAAGCCTGGATTGCTTTGGAGACCCCCAGGTTTTGGAAACGCCAGAGTCAAGGGATACCTGCTGAGAAAAACTGCAGACTGGGTGTGGAAACAGCCTAAGAGAGAGCAGTATGTAGTAGTCAACAAAGCTGAAAGGCCTTGGAGATCGGAAGAGCTCTTTACTATCAGGCTGGAGATGCAGTGTTTGGCGTTTGCCCAGCTGGCTTTCAGTCTTGCTTTGGTCCAGTATTTCCTCACTATGCTCCCTTTCCTCCCTTTTGGAATGGCAATGTGCATCCTGTGCCTACATATGTTGGAAGTATGTGATCTGCTTTCTGATTTTGATTTTACAGGGGGTTACAGTTAAAGAGATTGCCAGGAGTCTTTGGATTTTTTAAAGTGTTGAGACTGTGATAGACTGTAGGAAATTTTGAGGTTGGACTGATGTATTTTTGTATTATAATATGGCTATAAGCCTATGGGGGGCAGGGAGTGGAAAGTGTGGTTTGAATAAGATTGCCCCCCCCCAGGCTCATATTTCTGAATGCTTAGTCACCAGGGGGTGGAATTCTTTGATAGGATTAGAAGGATTGGGAGGTGTAGCCTTGTTGGAGACAGTGTGCCACTGGAGGTAGGTAGCTTCGAGGTTTCAAAAGCCCATGTCAAGCCAGGTTTTCTCTCTCTCTCTCTCTCTCTCTCTCTCTCTCTCTCTCTCTCTCTCTCTCTCTCTCTCTCTCTCTCTCTGCCTATCTCCCTCCCTCTCTCTCTCTCTCTCTCTCCCTGCCTATCTCCCTCTCTCTCTCGCTCCCTTCCTCTCTCTCTCTCCCCCTCTCTCTCTCCCTTTCTCTCTCTCTCTTTCTCCCTCCCTCTCTCTCTCTCCTCCCTCTCTCTCTCCCTCCCTATCTCCCCTCTCTCTTCCTTCCTCCCTTCCTCTCTCTCTCTCCCTCCCTCTCTCTCTCCCTCCCCCCTCTCTCTCTCTCCCTCTTTCTCTCTCGATGTAGCTCTCAACTACTTCACAGCACTATGCCTACTTACCTCTATGCTCTCTGGAGCTAAAAGTAAGCCCTCAATTAAAAGCTTTCTTTAAAACAAAACAACAACAACAAAAAATAAACAAAATGACTTGTTCATGGTGTCTCTTCACAGCAATAGAACAGTGACTAAGACAGTGTCTTAGATTCACTAACAGAACGCATCTTAGGAAAGAAGGGTTTGTTTGACTTATAATTCCAGGCTATGGTCCTTTATTTCAGGTTTGCCTAGGCAGTGGCTTAAGGAATCCCATTTACAGGCAAGAACAGATTGATAACAGATGACGGATCCTTGCTTGTTCTCTCGGCTATCTTCTCTTACAATGTTCAGAACCCCATGCCTAGGGAGTGATGCTAAGCACAACCTGGTCTTCCTATGTCAACTAAAAAGCAAGACAATTCCCCTCAGATATGCCCACAAGCCAAGCAAATCTAGACAATTCCTCACTAGTACACTAGTAATCTTCTAGGAGATTGTAGGTTGTATCAAGTTGACAATTATAACTAAATAGCAATTGTCTTAGTTAGGGTTTTTATTGATATGAAGAGACACACAACACTTATAAAGGAAAACATTTAATTTGGACTGACTTACAGATAAGAGGTTAAGTCCATTATCATCATGGTGGGAAGTATGGTGGCCTTCAGACAGACATGCTACTGGAGAGGTAGCTGAGAGTTCTACAGCATGATCCACAGGCAGCAGAAAGTAGTCTGGGACACTGGGCAGTATCTTGAGCCAAGGAGACCTCTAGGTCTAGGCAGTATTTGCAGTTGCTTTCTTCATGAATGACATTCTGACTGAGGTAAGACAGAATCTCAATGTCATTTTGATTTGCATTTCCCTGATTGGTAATATGAGGGTCTGAAAGAAAGTGCCCTCAAAGGGAGCAGCACTGTTAGGAGGTGTGACCTTGTTGGAGTAGGTGTGGTCTTGTTGGAAGTAGTGTGTTACCATGGAGCCAGGCTAGTATGTGAACAAAAGAAACTCACATATGCTGCTAGCCAGAATGTAAACTAGTCTAGCCACTATAGAAATCAGCATGAGGTTTTCCAAAACAAAACAAACAAACAAACAAAAAAACCTAAAAGTTCCCAGCACTTGGGACACAGAGCCAACTGGATCTCTGTGAGTTCGAGGCCACCTTGATCTTCAGAGTGAGTTCCAGGACAGGCTCCAAACCTCCAAACCCTGTCTCTAAAAAAACAAAAACAAAAATGAAAAAAATCTAAAGGCAAAATTTTCCATATGATTTCTAAGCCGCATGGAAAGACCTATGTTTACTCAAAGGACTTGAAGTCATCATACTCTAGGATAATTGCCCATCGATGCTGACTTTCTATAAGCACGTCCTTGATCACTTGGGCACCATAACTAGGAGAGCTAGGTACAAGATTCTCTTCAATGGACTGTTATAAAAAGCCTGATTGAGCGGGACTCCAGGGAGGGCTTCTGGTTTGGATGAGATGGCTTGGTAGACCTGTCCCCTCATCCTGTGCCATTTCTTCCTTCCTAAAACTGAGATTTGGCTCCCAGAAGGGCTGCCATCTCCTGTCTGTGAGTAGACCAGACCGCAGGCAAAGCAACATGAGCCTTCCAGTTACCCAGTGTCAATGTCATGCTAGCATTTGTTTTCCTCTTCATTTTTCTTTTGTTTTCTTGCTGTGCAGATTGAACCCAGGGTCTTAGATGTACTAAGCACGTGCCCTTTCATGAAGCTATACTGCAGCATCTTACCTTCTTCCACATAAGACAATCCTCCCAACTCACCCTCCTGAGTGTCAGCGTTATGGACTCACCACCACACTACACCTTGGTGATCCCTGCTGAGTACTAAGACAGCAGTGAAGATAGGGTTGTGTGATAGGGTGACAGGGTTTTAGAAAGGAGACCTAAGAGGTATAACTAGACTTGGGCTTGAGAGGGAGGGAGGGAGGGAGGGAGGGAGGGAGGGAGGGAGGGAGGGAGGCAGAAAGTAACTGAAGAACTTTCAGTAGATACTGGTATGAAGACAAGCACAGGGTGAAAAGAATCGACGTGTGTGCTAGTGCACGTGCACTGCAATGCAAAATCAAAAGAAAGGACCAATAGTTAAACTACGTGATGCTGAGAGTTTCTGTCCTAGGATGGGCACTGGGTATATAGAAAAAAGAAAGTTGCTAAGATAATGGAACAACATGATTACTAGCACTTACTTGGTAGCTATAATCATCTATAACTCCAGGTCTAGGGGATCTTTACCATCTTCTGGCTTCTGTAGGCACCAGGCATGCATACAGTGTACAGACACATATGTAGACCAAACAATCACAAACCTAACGTAAAGTAAAAACTTTTTTTTAAAACCCATTTTGTAGACCAGGCTGGCCTTAAACTCACAGAGATCTGCCTCTGCCTCCTGGGTGCTGGGACTAAAGGCATATGCTACTATGCCCAGCCCTTTTTTTTTTTTTTTTTTTTTTTTTTTACCATTGTGGCTGTTTGTCTGCACATATGTCTGTGCAGTATGTGTATGCCTGATGCCCTTGGAGGTTGGAAGAGGGTGTCAGATCCCCTGTAACTGGAGTGACAGACGGTTGTGATCACCCATGTGGGTGTTGGGAATTGAACCCAGGTCCTCTGAGGAGAGCCAGGGCTCCTAACCACTGAACCATCTCTCAACCCTGAGCTTTCTTTTTCTTAATACAAGTGTTTATGTGTGACAAGGAGTCTCAGAGGACACTTGAAATAAATATGCAAAATCTGAAGCATCAGGAAGCCTTCAGGGTCTGCTTTCAACAATTACAAACAGCACATAAAACTTACCAATCCGTTTAAGAAAATATGAATAGGTGCTACAGTTTAGACCTAGAATGTTCTTCAAAGGCCCAGTGTTAAATACTTGGTCCCCAGTCTATGGCATTACTGGGAGAGAGTAGAACTTTTAAGAGTCAGGGGCCGAGGGCAGAAAAATGTAACAGTGCATGTCCATGTCCTTGCTCTCAATATTGAATTAACTCTCTCTGTCTCTGTCTCTCTGTCTCTCTGTCTCTGCTATTTGTCTTGAGATATGGTCTTGCTATGCAGCCCTTTATTGGACCTCAAACTTGTATCTCTGATTTTTTGTTTATTTTGCTTTGCTTTTCTTTTTTCTTGTTCATAACAACTGTGATGTGCATGATCAGTCCCCCTATGCCATGTGTGATCAGTCATGCTACACTGTGTTTCCACAGGTCCAAAACAAAGCGACCACGTGACCATGGACTGGAATCCCTGAAATCTTCGGCCAAAATAAACTTTTCTCCCTCTAAGGTGATTGCTCAGTCATTTTCTAATGTGACTGACACAATGGGGATGGTAAGGAAACTTAAAATGAGGTACATATTCTGTACTTCACTTGAGCTGGCAAATGGCAGCCAACTCGGCTATCCTGAATCACACGTATGTAGCATAATTCTTAGAGCATTCTACCTGCCTTCTAACTACAGCAACGTCATCCTCACAATCTAAACAAACAGACTCAATAGCGCAAGGACAAACTAAAATGGAATTCTAATAGAGAAATGACGTGCAGGAAGGTAGGACAAAGCAAATAATGGAAGGGAAGGAACAGGGAAGAAAAAGCAGAGTGCCAGAATAGAGACTTAACATATGGATGATGACGTTAGATGCAATCTACTTAAATACACTGAGTAAAGGACAGAGAGGAGCATCATGGGTATATAAAACATGACCCAATTACAGTGCGCCTCTAAAAACACCTCAAATATGGTCACAGGTTAGTTTAAAATAAGAGGAATATGGTCAAGCAATATGTGTGTTAAATAAGTTAAAAATAAACCACTGGAAAAGTCACATCATGCAAATGTTTATCAAAAGTAAGCAGGAGGGCCAGGCATGGTTGTATATGTCTTTAATCTCAGCACTTGGCAGGCAGAGGCAGGCAGATCTCTTGAGTGTGAGGCCAGCCCAGTCTACGGATCGAATTCCAGGACAGCCAGGACTACACAGAGAAACTCTGCCTCTCAAGACAAAAAAAACTTAGCGGGAAGCTGGGCTCAGTGGCCCAGGCATGTAATACCAGGAGATTGAGGCAGGAAGATCACAGATTCTTGGCCTGCCTGGGATATGAGAGGGGGTTCATGACCAGCCTGAGCAATTCAGTGACACTGTCTCAAACTACAGAAGTTTGAGAATACAGCTCAGTGGTAGAATGCTCCACTAGCAAGAGCAAGACACTAGGTTACATTCAAAGCACCACACAGAGACAAACACAAATACAGTAAGCAGGAGTAGCTACATTACTAGATAGAGTAGGTCTCCAGGGGAAAGATGACATCAGTGCAAAAATTAGATGGATGGATGGATGGATGGATGGATGGATAGGTAGATAGATAGATAGATAGATAGATAGATAGATAGATAGATAGATAGAACATTCATCAAGGACAAAGCATTCACACACATACACACACACACACACACCACACAAAGCTACACAAAGTAAAACCTCTGTAATTGAAATGGACTAAAGAGTAAGCCCACAATTGTACTTAGAGACTTAGAACCCCTCTCAACTAGTGACAGAATCAGAAAGCAGTAATAAGGGAGGCTGGGGAGAGCATGCAGGAGGCCTTAAATTCATTCCTCAGCAGCACGTTACAACCGAAGCAAACCAGACTCAAAGCTGAAGGACAACAGCAGTTTCCAGGCCAGTGTAGTCTACACAGCTGGTTCCAGGCCAGCCAGGGCTGCGGAGTTAGACTGTCTAAAAAAAAAACAAAAAACAAAAAACAAACAAACAAACAAAAAAACCCACCCCAACCCCCACTCCCAGAACCGGATACTATCAGTCAGAAATCATAATATTGAATATTTCACTTAATTGAAGCATTCCTTTAAATATTCCTAAGTGTCTCTGTGTGGTATTTCTTTGTTTGCAATGTTTCTTTCATAATAAAATTTAAAATATATAAGAAGTTAAAATGTTAAAGATGGGGGCGCACAGGGATGGGGGAAAGGCAGGACCCTCTGCCTGATTGATGCTCCGTCACTGCTGCCTCCTCCTCCTTTCACCTCCTGGTCCTGCTGTACTCCATCAGTAAGGACCTCCAATCACTTTTGTGAAGATGCAGCTGAAGAGACACTGAGCTCTACAAGATCCCCAGGGGAGGAGTGGAGTGGAGAACAACGATCATATTATTTTGAAGTGAGGGGCAGGATGCTTATGTGGTGCAATTTAAGATCCAAGAAGCTCGCACCGCCTAGTAAAGCAATGGCAGCCTATTGTGGAGACAGGGTTAGTGAACCAGGCAGCTCAGATTCCTGTCTGATGGACAGCCAATCAATGAAACACGCCCACTCAGTTGAAGCAGAGGATGAAGATACAAGCAAGGTGTTATTGCAGCAGACAGGAAGTTTGCCCTGAAAGAGCAGAGTACTACTTTATTTCAGAATTTTGTTGCTGCTACGAATACATTCTCAGCTAGAAAGTCGCAATTTGGTTCCCCACAAACCGGAGTATAGTGTTTTTTATTCTTTCATTTTCCCTCTCCTCTTTCTTCTTTTTGGGCACAACATTCATATTGAGCCTTAAGAAAAAAAATTGCCAATGTTATGTTTTAGCTGACATCAGATGGAGATGGTATGGGAGTAAAGTCTTGGTTCTGCCCCTTGTCATAAACTAAGATCAATTAGGCGCCCGGAGGGTTGGCTCAGGAGTTAGGGACCGGTACTGCTCTTGCAGAGGACACAAGTTCAGTTCCCAAGCACCCATGTCAGGCTGCTCATAATGGCCTCTGTAACTCCAGCTCCAGGTTTTGGCCTTAGTAGACACCTACATTTATGTGCACACAGACACACATACACAAACACAAGTACAATATTTACAGAACGGTCAGTTTAGTATAAGCAGAGCTCAGTGGGAAAAAAATAGGATAATTCCATTTATTTACTTATTTATTATTTACTTATTGACTTTTTGAAGCAGATTTTCTCTGTGTAACAGCTCTGGCTGTCCTGAAACTCGCTTTGTAGACCAGGCTGGCCTCAAGCTCACAGAGATCCAACTGACTTTGCCTCCCAGAGTGCCCAGAGTGCTGGGACTAAAGGTGTGCACCACCACTGCCTGTCAGGATATTTTGTTGAATTTGAATTGTCTATACTTTTGACCTGAAGATACAAAAGCTTCTATATATATTTGTTTTTTTTATTTTGTTTTGTTTTTTGTTTTTTCAAGACAGGGTTTCTCTGTATTGTTTTGGAGGCTGTTCTGGAACTCCCTCTGTAGACCAGGCTGGCCTCGAACTCAGAGGTCTGCCTGCCTCTGCCTCCCGAGTGCTGGGATTAAAGGTGTGCACCACCAATGCCCGGCTTTCTACATATATTTGTGCACACGTAGCCAGCCTACTGGCTTCTTGTGAACTTCTAGAAGGAAGAAGGGAATCTCTCGGTGAGATTGAACTTCCTGGAGTCAGTATTATTCGAGTCAGAGTAACCTTTTTGTTGTAGTTTTGTGTTCTGTTTGTTTAAAATATGGTCTCTCCCTTATATTCCAGGCTAGCCTATAGTTTATGATCCTTCTGCCTCAGTCTCTTGGGTGCTGAGATTGTGGACAGAGACCACTACCTGACTCTAGATATTTGTTATTAAACTTTGGAGAACTGGAAATGTTGCTTGGTGGGTAGAGTTCCTGCAGAGAAGGCAGATGAGGTCCTGAGTTGGATTTCCTGTTCAAATACAACATAAAAACTTCTATCCTGTTTTATGCCTAGAATCCCAGCACTTGGGAAGTAGAGGCAGGAGGATCAGAAGTTTAAGGTCATCCTTGCCTACATAGAAAGTTTGAACAAGCCAATCTGGGTTACATGAGACCCTGTCTCAAAAAATAAAAAGTTTGTGAAATTCAAACGAATGGCATTAATTGACTCTTCACTTGGGATTTTTCTGTTTTCCTTATAAGCACTTATTGTCTAACAGAACAGCAGAACAGCAGCCCAGTTCTGTCTCTTCTACCTCTTGAATTATGTAGAAAGAGTATGAAAGGCTCTCACAGGAGCAAAGTAAACATAGCACTGATAAGAAATACACACTATTACAGTGTCTCCTCATTCCTTTCAAAGAGATCATTCTTCTCATGACTTCATTTTGTGTTAGGAGTGTTTTGCACATACATGCCTGGTGCCTGCAGAGGTCAGAGGAGGGCACTGGATCCTCTGGAGCTGGAGTCACAGACAGTTGTGGGGTGCCATGTGGGTGCTGGGAACTGAACCTGGGCCATCTCCGGTCCCTCAGTGTTCTCCTTACTCATCCCTTTGATTTTCACTCACTTAGCAAACCATGAGTTTAACACACATCTGGGAAGTTTCCAAGATTACTATTTCCAAGTATGTCACTTCAAATCCAGGATAAAACTGTGATTCTGTCAAATGGAATGTATTCTGAAATAATACTATATTTCAAACTTACTATAACATTTTCTTGCTAGCCTTTAGATTACTTTTATCCTGCAACATGTTAAAACATTTCTAACATGTGGCAAAGTTAAAATATATGCTAACTGCCAGACTGAAACATCAATATATATATGTATACGTATGCATATATATATCCCCCCTTTAATTAAATATAGACATATGAAATTTCTTTTTATGACTTTTGTTTTAAAGTCTAGATGTGTGTGTCTATGTGTCTGCTGTATGTTCAGGTGCCTGCAGAGGCCAGATGACATCAGATTCCCTGGAACTGCAGTTACAGATACTTATGTGCTGCCCAAGTTGGATGCTGGAATTAAACTTGGGTCCTTTGGGAAAGAGCAAATGCTATTAACTGCTTAGCCATCTCTCCAGCTTCCCACTGTCCTTATCTAATGACTGGTACAAATGAAAGACTGTAGCTGAACATTTCAATACAGTCATTAAATATTATTCCTTGCTTATGATGCATCTGCTTAACAGAAGTAGTTTCAATAGGACGTTCATGATGAATAGTTTATCAAAATCTATTATATATGTTAAATGGCTTAGTCACTGTTCTATTTCTGTGAAGAGACACGGTGACAAAGGCAGCTCTTGTGAAAGAATGCATTTAACTCAGCGCTTGCTTACATTTTCAGAGGGTTAGTCCATTATCATCATGGCAGGGAGCAGAGCAGCCCACAAAGTACTGGAGCAACAACTGAGAGCTACATCCTGACCCACAGGGAAGAGAGACAGACAGACAGGCAGGCAGACAGACAGACAGGCAGACAGACAGGCAGGCAGGCAGACAGACAGGCAGACAGGCAGGCAGGCAGACAGGCAGACAGGC